AACCACTCCATTAGAATTATTTAGACACTCTTTGCTACACTTTGGATATTCTAGTTCCAGTAGAACTATAGCTGTTTTAATTTCTGCCATGAAGTAACCTTCTGTTTTGGACAGTGATTGAGCTGCGCTTGTAGGTCGCCGGTTTATGACCCTTGGTATTCTGAACTGCTGGCACAGAGTGCTGCTCTGATCAGGATGTAGTAGTACAAGTTGTTATTTTTGTAGTCATACAGAAAGAAACAGGATTGAGGTGCCTCATAATGAATGACTGATGGGTGGTTTGTAAATGTCCATCTATACCCCCCTCTCTGATCAGTCAGCTGTGTGTGTGTGCGTGTTGTATTCTCAGCTGCTGGGTTGTTCCAGATGCTTCAGTATAAGTCCATTTGTCCACAGTGCTGTCTGTCTGTGCCAGTGTTCGAGAGTGAGTTCGTTGTTAGATGAACTGCGCTGACCATATGCTCTGCCCCACCACCCTCCACCCCAAAGTCCTAAACACTTCCTTACATAGACAGTCCATGAATAAGCCACACAGTCACTCAATAGTCATTAAAACATGGCATGGCCTACAGTCTTCTCAGAGCATTCTCGCTATGCTTCCAAGGTCAGAAGCCACAATACAGCTGCATGGCATGAGTTTCTCAAAGGGATGATAAATCATTGATGTGCACAGTATAGGGCCCTATGATTCTCGCAATGCAGAAAATGCAGACGGAATCGTGGAATCCAGTCATAAAAACGGAATTTACTGTATAACGCGGTAGGGTTGTGACGGTGAGGAAATTTTCCCAGCGGTTAATTGACGTGTGACAACACCGGTAATACCTGTATCACCGTGGGGGCGGGGGCATTCCCTCTTTTCCTCCTTTCCTTCGCTTTTAAATAGCTTGTAAAAGCTGTGTGCGCATTTAAAGTAAACAAGTTTCACCCAAAAGTTTAGTCATCGTTCTGCTGCCACTGAAAAACATCTGTATACTGTTGTCTGTTTTAGGGTTTGCTGGTGTTTTCAGGATCTTCCTCAGTCTGCAGCTGTAATAGGAAAATATAATATACTTCAGTAAAGCAGTGGGCTGAGTCTGACCAAATGCAACATAAGATCATTGACACCAGCTAAAATATAACTTTTCAGTAAATAACAAACCTTTTAACAAACTTTTATAATAAATTTAGATAAGATTACATATATTAAGTGTATATCAAATAGATGCAAACTGTAGTATTAAAAACACTTTACAATAAGATTTTATTTGTTAGATAACATGACCTAACAATAAACAATAGTTATATGGCAATTATTCTTCTTAGGGTTAATTTCAAAGTTCAATCTGTTAAAATTATTTAATGCACAATGAACAAACATGAATGATCAAGTGTTTGTATTAAATAACATTCACAAACATTAATGAATGTTTTAAAAATATATTGTTCACTCACTGTAAGATGTTACTAGATCTAACTCGCGTTAGAAAACATTAAATA